ACAATCGAAATATATGTATATTTACAATCGAACTCGAAAATACTCGCCCTCTTGTGAAATGATGATGAACAGATTCAGGAATTTTTCACAGTATTTTCTATACTATTTGTTCTTCTGGCGAAAGTCTTATTTGTTTTATTTCGGCTAGAATAAAAGCAGCTTTTAAGTGTTAAAAGCCATTTTAAGGTCAATATTATTAGCCCCCTTAAGCAATATTTGTTTTGGATTGTCTACAGAACTGTTATGATTATCAGCGATCCAACGTCTGTGGATCGGTAATGAACTACAAATCTGTCGTCACATGGACTACATATACTGTGATGCACCACTCACACACACCGGTTCCTGTTAGTCCATGATTACACACATACACACAGCTTTGCTTCATCCCAATTGATGACTAGGACAGTGGGTGCTAGAATTATTAGCCTCCCTGAATTATTAGACCCTGTTTATTATAGTCGTGTGCTCCCTAGTTTGTTCTAGTTTTGTTTTGTTTAGTTTATATATGGTAAATGCTGCATTCGGATCCTCACCTTGTCTCAACTCCACACTACACAATGGCACATAACAAAAACAAACCACTGTTATACAAGGACTTGCCTAATCACCCTAACTTTACCCTAATAAACCTAGTTAAGCCTCTAAAAGTCACTTTAAGCTGAATACTGGTGTCTTGATAAATATCTAGTCAAATATTATGTGCTGTCGTAATGGTAAAGAGAAAATAAATTCGTTATTAGACATTAGTTTGTCAAAATGAAATATTTAATTTAACATTTTTGAATAACATAACATCAAATAATCATGTTTGTGTGTCGATTTAAGGACATTATGTGTTAGAAATATCAACTTAAAGACCACCACTGTACATATTTTTGACTGTCTCTGCCTCCTCCAGCTTAATTTATGATTAAATAATTTCTAATGTTCATTTTTTGTGTGTTTCCTTTACTGAGTTTAATAAACATGTGCATGAAACAACTATTTTCTGTGTTATATGTAATTTCTGTTAGAAAAAAAAACACATTTAGATTGTGTCTCTGCGTTCTGGTCAACTCTGTTCCATCAGCTATAAAAAGGCAAAGCGCTGATAGAAATATCATGTGACTTGCTGCAAATGATGAGGCATGCCGTTATTCTTCTCTCAATAATATTTAGGATTCACGATAGTAGATATTTCCCAATAATAATAATAATAATAATAATAATAATAATAATTTCTTACATTTATGTAGCGCTTTTCTTCTTTAGACCGCACACCACACACCAGCTGATTGGCGGATAGGAGACAGAGTGAGTTATGATATGGGTATGGTCAGGAGGTCATGATGGATGCCAGAGTTAAACCCCTACTCTTCTTCCAAGGACATCCTGGGATTTTTAATGACCACAGAGAGTAAGGACCTCGGTTTAATGTTGCTCACTGAGCATTATAGAGTCACCTTCCCTATACTGGGGCATCAGGACTCACACAGACTGCAGGTTGAGCGCCCCCTGCTGGCCTCACTTCCAGCAGTAACCCAGCTTTCCCATGTGAGAGTTGCAGAGAGCTGCTGCTGGCTAGAATTGTTATTTGTCGACTAGGTTACTGTGATATTTCAGTCAATTCACTAATTAAATACAATAATATGATGATGAAAATGCCTTTGAACTGTGTTTTAGACACAACATGTGGAGTCTTAAGCACAGAATAGTGGAAAATGCATTCATTTAGCAATAATTTCAACAACAATTACAAACAGAATCAAATGTTTCCAGTCACACTTCAGTATTTTGTCTTATTTTACATTAATAATTAATCCAGTTTATGGTAAATTATACATTATATATAGTATAAAGCGAGAATAAATAAACCAACAATGTCAATCTTGAGTTCAACAAAGCGTCTGGCAAACATTCCCATCTCTGTGTTTGTTTCAGGCCACACACACACACACACACACACACACACACACACACACACACACACGAATCATCATAAATGAAGAAGAGCGTTTAATCATGGCAGTTGAGGAAACCCAATCTACAGTCACTTCAATACAACGGTTCGTTTGGGTTTTCATAAGCGATTCCTGTGTTTAAAACTCATGAAGACAAGATGGAAAATACAGACCAGAGCCGTCTTCAATGTTCAGACGTGACATAAATAAGACAGACCATCTCAAAGCATCAACATGCCAGAAAAAAAAAAAAACTCAAGAAATCCAAATGTCTTCCCAATGGAAAAGTCTCACAGTATCGAAACACTGAAAACCCCATGAACACATTTAGATGAGAAGCCCAGAAATCATCAAGTCCCACTGAAAAAAAAAATCACACTCCACATGCCCGAACGCAGAAGAAAAAGGCCTGGAAACTGAATCCTTATTGGCGAAATCCAAACACCAAGATGAAGACGCCATCGCGGATAGAAAGAACAGTAGATTTATCACAAAAAAACTCCAACTCTGTTTATATTTCAACATATTTACAGCACACAGGATTTCTTCTGCTTCTCTTATCATTCCTCTTCTGTTTTATATATACGTATACATCTATAGTGTTTTAGGCTGTGTGTGCGTTCTCCATTACGCTTTGCTGTCGTCCTGTTTTGTGTGGATGCTGTTGTCCGTGTGGACTTTAATCTCGATCAGATCCGGCTTCAGCACTTCTTTGCCGTTTTCCTCCTTCAGCGGCAGCTTCCTACAGTCGGGAATCAACAGTTTATTCCTCATTCGCTCATCAAACATGCTTTCAGACACAAATCGACAACACGTCACAATCCGACAACAAAACTCATGCATCTCATTAGCATGCAAATGATCTTCAGTCACATGACAAACCCAAAATGTAAGTGGCGTCTGTGAATCAGCTTATTTCTCCACTAACTGGTCAACTACAATACAGGTGCCATAGAATGAAAATCTGAGTATACTATTTGGAAATAGTAAGAGTTAACGACATGAAATTGGTATACAGTGAGCCTCAAACACCACCTCATCTCAAGTAAAGAGAGTGTAACATAAGCTGATTGTATCGAAACACAGACTGCTACATTGCACACGGTATCATTGATATGCATATCCATAGGCTGAGTTTGATTGGCCACAACGTTTTGAAATAAGATTGCAATAATTATATGTTTTCCCGTATTTTTAAGTCTATCCAGGCTTGTATGTGTGTGGGACTGTTATTTTGAAAACTGGAAAGGCAGGGATATTTGTGAAGCAGGCAGCCATGCATAACCACGCAGTTCTCACAGCAGTCAGAACGCAAAATGCTGGATATACAGATTATACATTAACTCACCGCCACCATGTAGGGTGTGTTTAACCATATCTTTGATTAGTTTAACATGTATATTTGCCATATATGGTTGTAATGAGGCAACAAACACGTAGATTACTGAATATAATGCATGTTTATGCATGGTGTCATATCACTTGGCTCCTATTGTTAGTTTTCTGGTGTGCAATATACTTTAAAAAACTCATCTGTATATGCAGGGGTTGATATTAATTCATGTCTGTGTTTTGACACATGTTAAAGCTTCTAAAAGACCTTTAAGTACTTCTGTTTGTCCCTTTTGTCAAGTTTAAAAGTGATTTGTATTTCATCCACAACACAACCCAGGAGCACAATAGCTTCCTCTGGTATCTTAAAGATAGCTCACTCACCCTTCTAGATAAAATAAACCTCTCTTCCACTTCAGTTGAAAAGAATACCAAAAATATTTTGGTTAATAAAGCATGATTATTTTGCATGTATACTTAAGGTCCTGTCCAAGTGAACACAGGTATTTTAAAACGGCACTTTTCTATGCAGTTTCCCTGTTTGTCCACACGGAAACACAGTATATTTAGTAGTTCTAAAAAAGTTCCATGAAGAGGTTTAGCTTACGGTTTTGTGCTAACATTTCACTGAAGACAAGGTAACATTAAATTAACGTTTGCCAATGAGTCTGAGAGAGCATTCAGATAGCTATAGGCATAGTATCGGTATAGTTATAGTATCTGTATCGGTATAGTTTCTCTCAGTATCGGTAAAGTATCGGCATCGTTTCTCTTGGTATCTGTATAGTATTGGTGTTGGTATAGTTTCTCTCAGTATCAGTATAGTTTCTCTCAGTATCGGTACAGGTTTTCTCAGTATCGGTATAGTATCGGTATAGTTTCTCTCAGTATTAGTAAAGTTTTTCTCAGTATCTGTATAATATTGCTATAGTTTCTCTAGTTTCTCTCAGTATCTGTATAGTTTCTATCAGTATCGGTATAGATTCTCTCAGTATTGAGTTTCTCTCAGTATCGGTTTAGTTTTTCTCAGAATTGAGTTTCTCTCAGTATCGGTATAGATTCTCTCAGTATTGAGTTTCTATCAGTATCGGTATAGATTCTCTCAGTATCGGTTTAGATTCTCTCAGTATCGGTATAGATTCTTTCAGTATTGAGTTTCTATCAGTATCGGTATAGATTCTCTCAGTACTAAGTTTCTCTTAGTATCGGTATAGATTCTCTCAGTATTGAGTTTCTATCAGTATCGGTATAGATTCTCTCAGTATCGGTATAGTTCTCAGTATCAGTATAGATTCTCTCAGTACTAAGTTTCTCTCAGTATCGGTATAGTTTCTCATCTGCTGTACTGCACTGCTAAAAAATGCTTTTCTTACTTAGAGTATTAGTCTTGATTCTAGTCCAAATATCTAACAAGTCTGTAACACTTTACAATAAGATTGCATTAATTATTGTTAGTTAATGCTAATGTTAATATTTATCACAGTGTTTGTTCATGTTAGTTCATGAAAACAATTGTTTATTGTTGGTACAAATTAACTCACAGTGCATTCACTAATGTTAAAAAGCACGACTTCGGATGTTAATAATGCATTAATGAATGTTAAACTGTGATTAATAAGGGCTGGAAAGTATCAATCAAAATGAATTCATATTAGTAAATACATTAACTAATGAAACCTTATTGTAAAGTGTGACCAACTTAAATCAAGCAGCATTTTCTAGATAAGCAAAACATATTAATGAGTAAAAATTAAGTGTATTTTTTTCTTAAATCAAGCCCCAAATTAATCCCTCAGTGGGGTAAGCCATATAATCTTATTTCAAAGCAGAAACTTGATAATTTTGTATACTCCATATGCAGAATATTTTGAATAGATTATAGCAAGATGAGTAAGAAAAGCATTATTATCTGCAGATCAGATGTCTAACTCTTACTCGGGCTCGGTCAGAGGAGTCGTCTCATTGGGTTCATTCACTGGACTGCAGTCCTCCGGGTTAGTAACTCTCTCTTCTTCTGTTCTCATCTTCACGATGGGCTCCTTTGAGCCATCAACCCTACTCACACAAACACACATGCAGTGACCATCACACACACACACACACACACACACACACACACACACACACACACACACACACACACACACACACACACACACAGTATAGACACATGCTGACACTGTTCAGAACGGACTGCATTAGCAAACACTGATCACCATCACACATCTTAACACAATTCAGGATTCAAAAATAAATGAATGGTTTTTAAAACAGTATCTTTGCGAGATTTATTATTATTCAAAATATAGTCAAATAACACTGTAAATTATTACAAATTAAATAATGTTAAATTTACGGGAATATATTGTATGGTGTAATTTAATACTGTGATGTAAATCTAAATTTTTAGCTTTAATATTCCAGTCTTTAGTGTCACATGATCCTTCAGAAATCATTTCTGAGTATTATAAATACTTAAAACAGTTCATATTTTTGAGCATAGCATAATTATCAAACAAAAGTTGAGGTCAGAAAGATTTCTTTTGAAGTAAATTAATGTTTGTATTCAGTAATCATCTGTTAAATTGATCAGAGGTGACAGCAACAAGACCTATGCCACATTAATTATGACATATTTTATGCAAAAACCTCTCTATTCGTAGTATAAATCTTGACAAATTTGTCAAATAATAAAACAAATGCCTTTTATTTTTTACTAAAAATATTAAGCAGCACAATTGTTTTCAACAGAGACAGAAATCAGAAATATTTTTAATCATTATAACATTCTGATAGATCATGTGACTTTGATGGCTGGAGTAATGATGCTGAAAATTCATCTTTACATCACAGAAATGAATGAAAATATACAACATAATCACACAGAAAACATAGATTATTGTACTTAAAAACTTTACCGTAAGTAAAAGAGACAATTTTCATAAACATTAAAACCCAAATGAGTATTATTATTTATACGGCATTCAATTTATCTTCCGTTCTGAACACAGCCGTCAACAAAACACATTAAAGATGCACAAACAAGAAGATTCAGGAACTACTTCTCGCACTTTCTTCTTTCTACACTGATCTACTTTGACGTGTGTGTCCAGATTCAGCTGTTCATGTGTGAAATAATATCTGACGGAATCTGCAAGAGAAACTCCAGCTGATGATGATTATGAGGGTAAAGCTGGACTCTAAAGCAAACAGATCAATAGACACAGGCTTTTATTAGCTGATGAATCTCCAGAGTCTGTCTAAAGCAAACCAACCCGTCTGTCTGATGACTGAACTCAATGGCAGATCACTGCAGTCCTCTGTGCACGTGCTATTAACACTGTTTAACGCTAATGGCAAAGCAGTGTTAAACAATAGACTGTAAATTCAATCCTCATTGTCAGATAATGACTGTCAGTTTTTAATCAATCATCAGATTCAAAGGAGACTCACTCTCAGCTCTTGATGAAAGTGATTGTAAAGTGACATGAAAAGAGCTATATTAATTTAGACTAAATATCATACCATACTCATACCATAGTAATGTGTATTATTCTGTATTATATACTATAGTATTAACAACACCATTACAGTCGTGTAATGTAGTATTAGTTATATTGAACTCATAAACTATAATAAATACTGTGGTATACTTTACTTCAGTAAACTATGGTGTATTGTAGTATAAAACACCCTATAGAAAACTACAGTATTGGGTCGTCTGTTTATATTACTATAGTTGCTGTGTTACCAGATAAATTAACAGATGAATTAGTATTTGTTGTGTTACCATAGTGACTGTAGAATCACCAAAACAGATCAATTAGTATAGTTGTTGTGTTACCATAGCGACTTTAGAATCGCCACAACTGATCAATTAGTATAGTTGTTATTACCATAGTAACTGTAGAATCACAACTGATTAATCAGTATAGTTGTTGTGTTACCATAGCGACTGTAGAATTGCCACAAGTGATCAATCAGTATAGTTGTTGTGTTACCATAGCAACTGTAGAATCACCAAAAGTGATCAATTACTATAGCTGTTGTGTTACCATAGCGACTGTAGAATCGCCACAACTGATTAATTACTATAGCTATTGTGTTACCATAGCGACTGTAGAATCACCACAACTGATTAATTACTATAGCTGTTGTGTTACCATAGCAACTGTAAAATCGCTACAACTGATCAATTACTATAGTTGTTGTGCTACCACAGCAACTGTAGAATCACCAAAACTGATCAATTAGTATAGTTGTTGTGTTACCATAGCAACTGTAAAATCACAACTGATCAGTCAGTATAGTTAATGATACCATAGCGACTGTAGAATAGCCACAACTGATCAATTACTATAGCTGTTGTGTTACCATAGCAACTGTAGAATCGCCACAACTGATCAATTACTATGGCTGTTGTGTTACCATAGTGGCTGTAGATCACCACAACTGATCAATTACTATAGCTGTTGTGTTACCATAGCGACTGTAAAATCACAACTGATCAATCAGTATAGCTGATGTTACCATAGCGACTGTAGAATCACCACAACTGATCAATTACTATTGTTGTTGTGTTACCATAGAAACCATAAAATCAGTACAACAGATTAATTACTGTAGTCGTTGTGTTACCATAGCAACTGTAGAATCACCGCAACACATCCATTAGTATAGTTGTTGTGTTACCATAGCAACTGTAGAACCACCACAACACATCCATTACTATATTTGTTGTGTTACCATAGTAACTGTAGAATCACCAGGACAGATCAATCACTACAGTCGTGTTATCATAGCAGTTGCTTGTCAACAGACTAGAACAAATACTTATCTACAGAAGAAAATGCTTCTTGATTTAATAATATATTTCAAGAAATTTAGACTAAAAGCAAGACAAAAACTCTATAATGATTCATTTCTGCATTCCTACGTATGAATGATAGGGCATGTGTAAGTTAAGCACGCACAAACATGTTTAATGAATACAGTCTATTTTCTGAAGGTTGCTCAAGCGTGTGTATTCTGTGTCCTTCAAAAACATGACAACACTCAGATATATATATATATAAAACACAGAGGCTGTACAAAATCCCTTAGGATATGGGGATAAAACAGTTTGAGGGACGCTTTAGCTGTGAATGAGAAAACAACACTGGAGCAATGTTTTCATCCCGGCCTGCCAAAACCAACCCAAGTATGCTGCTCTAATACAATCTAACTCTTCGAAAAGCATCATGCTTTTATGATTAGATATGACTGACACACTCACTCACACACAGACATCAAAGAGCACAGAGCAGACAATCATGCGTCACATATACATACAGCTGAAGTTAAAATGATTCACCCTCCGGTCATTTTTTAAATTATTTCCCAAATGATGCAAGGAATTTTTTCACAGTTTTTTCTCTAATATGTGTTCTTCTGGAGAAAGTCTTATTTGTTTGATTTCAGCTAGAATAAAAGCGGTTTTTAATTATGTTAAGGTCAATAATATTAGCCCCCTTCAGCAACATTTGTATTTAATAGTCTCCAGAACAAACCACTGTTATACAATGACTTGCATAATCACCCTAATTTTACTCTAATTACCCTAGTGAAGCCTTTAAATGACACTTTAGGCTGAATGCAAGAATATCTAGTCTAATATTATATGCTGTCATTATGGAAAATATAAACAGGAGGGCTAATAATTCTGATTCCATCTGTATAAAGCAGGGGTGTCCAACCTCCTGGCGGGCAAGTGTCCTTCACAGTTTAGCTGCAACTTCCTTGAACACACCTGCCTGGAAGTTTCTAGTACACCTAAAAAGAGCTTGATTAGCTGCTTCAGGTGTGTTTAATCACAGCTGGAACTAAAATATGCAGGACACTCGCCCTCTAGGATCGAGTTTGGGCATAAAGGACTGATGGGTGCAGGACGAGGCGGCGCTCATGCAATAAAAACCCAGATAAACACTGGTTCTGGACTCACAGATACGCAGCCTTGCCCTCCTCCAGCTCTTTGCTCTTGCCGCTGGTGCTGGTCTTCTTGCTGCAGAGTTTGCGCGTGATGCACATGAGGAGGCCGCACTGGCGCAGGAAGAAGCAGCTGACGTCCAGCAGCACCAGCAGGAGGAGGAGAACGCACACACCCACACCTAGCACAGCGCCCACACCCAGCCCACTGAACAGAGAGTCTGCTGAGAGAACGGAACAATTCAGAGAGTTATAATTACTCACAGATAATTCAATAAATCATTTGCATTAATCAATTATTCACCACAATGCAGATAATAATACAACTGTAATAACAGTATTAATTACATATATACATATTTTAATGGTTACATTTATTTTCATTTCAGCTTAATCAATTTAGTCGTTCAACATCAACTTATTTAAGAACTTGACTTCTAGTTGATCATTTGTTAAAGTGTCAGAAGGTGGATTTCTCTGATGAATCATCTGCTGATCTGCATCCCAATAATCACACATACTGCAGAAGACCTACTGGAACCAGCAAGATTCTCACACAAATCAGTCAAGTTTGGTGAAGGAGAAATCATGGTTTGGGTTACATTCAGTATGGGGGCATGCTAAAGATGTAGAGTGGATGATCAACATCAACAGCCTGAGGTATCAAGACATCTGTGCTGCCCATTACATTACAAACCACAGGAGAGGGACAATTCTCCAGCAGGATAGCGCTCCTGCTCATACTTCAGCCTCCACATCAA